CGACAGCTCTGCAAGATCTTCCAGAAAGACACCAGATTCTCTCTGAAGTGACAACTTGGAAGTCCCAGGGCAGGTTTAGCGTGACAGAAAGAAGCAGCGTTGACAGCACAAAGCCCACCTCCCCCTTTTGCTTAGGGGTGGGGGAAGAAGGGCCAGCAAATCCGCAGCGGTGGGACTCTGCAGGGGGGCCTGGTGACAGCGCTGGTGATATCCTTGCCACTCAGCATCATTTGACAATGTTCCCATGCTTGAGCAATGTGATTATCTCCTCCGGCTTGGCAGGGAAGCTGGATTAACATGCTTAGAATCACCTGATGTGGCCATTTACAGGGTCAACGTGTTTCAAGGATTTAGAAGAGAAAACACACATTTAAAACACCCACGGAGCTTTTTGCATTGACAGGAATACCAACAATTCATTCTGTGCTGGCAAGACTGCTCAGGCGATCACCAGACACCGTCTGAAATCAAATCAGTGTCACAACAGAAGTTTCCACAGGTTTCTGGGAGCTGGTGGCCACATCTGATGTGCTGCAGCAAGGCAGGGTCTGGCAGGAGCTGGCAGCGGGGTGTGGCCCCGAGCATCGGGCTCACCTTGCGTTAGACAGCAAGGGCAGCGGGCGAGAGCAGCAGCGCATCCACGCGACCGATGCAGGCTGTCCTGGCACTTTCCATTAGCCACAGAGAAGATGAAACGGAGAGAAACCCTCTGCAGACCCATGCAGAAGGGCTTCCACAGAGGAGAAGGTCAATGACGGGGAAGAAGAGGCAGCTTGATCCTCAAGCTGTCTCCATCCTTACACTGATTTTCCCACTGCGGAGCTGACAGGGCGCTGTGAGCTGTGGAGCCGTGACGAGGTGCCAACTCAGCGCCGGTGGGGGTGGGAGGGCAGCCTGGCCTGGGCCCAGCTACACACGGAGGGATCCTGGAAGAGGATGCAGGCAGGGCAGGACTGAAAAGTAGATGAGCAGGGACACCACAGAGCGACACCTGACCTAGGACGGTCTGGAAATCCTGCACCAAACAATGCTTCCCTCCAAAGATTAAGGTGATTGCTCTCAAAGACCATCAGCGCTGCGATCCAGCCATTTGGTAAAAGGTTTTATGTGCCACAACCTGTCAAGATGCGGTGTACCCTAGAGTAGGTTATGAGCTGAAGTAGCTACGCTCAGATTAAAGCTTCCATCGCTTCCACATCAGTTGTTTATAGCACAGCTTCTTGGTCCAGAACAACTTCTGAGAGAGCTCGACACACATCAACATCCCGAGAAGCTCAGATGTGCCAAGTCGGAACGAAGTGGCTGCGCTGCCTGAGACAACGAGCGCCCTGAGGAAGAGGGGCTGGAGAGCTGCTGCCTACACGGGCGTTCATCTGACAAAAGCACCTCTCTGCCAGGAGAGGAGACTCTCCCTGCTCCCTCTTTGATCCTGCCATCTTGCACTACTGGCTTCCGACCAAGGAACATGCCGGGGGACGCGGCAATGGCCAGAGCTGCCAGCTCCAGCTCTGCTTGTCAGCCCAGCAAAGCAAGCCCAGGGGCTGGAATCCCTTCTGGCGGCTCCGGGAGGAGCAGCACTCTCGGCCGTGCCTCCAACAAGCGAGGGAATATGCTTGTTCGCACAGGCAGGAGGGAGGCTGCAGCCCCGGAGGAGCCAGGAGTTAATAAAGGGGCAGAGGTATCAAAGGACGCTCCAAAAATTACAAATGCCACAGCCACAACCATCCAGCACTTGCTCAGGCCCAGACGTAGGAGGGAATGAGGAGTTTCACCTCCAGCACAGGCAGACGGGGCAAATCCCTCCACAGTAACCATCTGCCCGTATGAGTTTGCCTCTTTTTCTCCTACCTACCACCAAGAACCAGCACGTCTATCCTACCAGGCATGGCAGGGAATCTGAGGAACCTCAGCTCACACCCAGTCCATAAGCAAGTCTCATCCATCTGCCTGGATGTTCTTTAAAACAAAGAGCTCTACAGGCTCTAAGGAAGGAATCTAAGGTAAAGGAAAAAATAACCTAGCTATTTTAAAAGGCAAACACACTAGAAAAGATCCTCGTGTGAGAATGCTCTCCCAAAGAGCAAAATGCTGCATGTGCTAACATTGCAGCATCCGTTCAGCTCAGCGGTTTTCATCCTCGTCAACTGCCAGAGGTACTGGACACGGCCAACAGACTGCTTGCAAATTAGAGCGAGCCCAGATAAAACACAAGGAAAAAAACACCCTGTGAGATTTTAGAATATGAAGCGCCGCACAAAGTGGGGGAAAAGCGACCACCATATGGTACCGGGAGATGTGTGAGGGGGGAGAGTAAAGGATTTTAACTTGTGAAGCACATGTTGAAAGGGGAACAGTTGTTCCTTGCTGTCGAATCTGACACGAAAGCCAATACATTAACATTTTATCTAAAAATAAAGACACACTCCTCCTGAACATTCCAGCTCAGTCAATTACACGCTGATCGACAGAGCAGTCTATTTGGCAGGACCTGCCTACGGAAGAGGATGATCCCTACATAAATTGAAGGGCAAGGCTGCTCTCTCCCCTCTGGGCTTTTGTTTCCACGCAGTGTGACGTACTCATGCATTCTAAAGGGGTTTTTCAGCATCAAGAGCTGGTTTTGTGCAGCTGGGATAGGAAGGAGGGGATTAAGCGAGTGCCGGAGAACCGTGGTCTGGCAGGAATAGTGTTGGACTTAAATAGAAAGAGTCGGCTCGTGGGGGTGGATTGTTTGGGGAAGGGCTGGGAGGGAAGGAGAAGCAATCTATGAAATCGGGGAGGGGGGAAGGGGGTCATCGTTAGCCGAATACTGTGAGAGAACAAAGTGGCCGTACAGAGACATTCGCCTGCGGAGCACAGGGGCGGGAGGGCGGCTACGAGCGATCTTCACAGTGCAAAGAGGGCATCCTCCGAGCGCTCCTGCTTTTTCCTGCCGGAAGGATTTGTCGGAGGGGTCGGGGCTTCCAAGGGAGGGGATGGCAGTTTGGGAGCCATCTCCGCCGCTTTGGCTCGCTCTTCTAAAAATTTGTCAAACTCTGCAACGCAAAAAAAAAATAAAATAAGGAAGACATGTAAGAATTGGGGCTGCACGTTTAGCCCTGGGGACAGGCCGGCAGGGTCTGAAATTCCAGTGCCTGGCATCCCTAGGAGCTGTGTTCAGAGGCACATGCACTTGTACAGCCCGACTTCCTCAGGGAAGGGCACAGAAGCCCTCTGGGACACCCGAGCTCAGGCAGCAGAGGGAATCAACCCCATGGCACACCATCAGCTGCGACAGAAGCCGGGAAACGTCATTCCAAAGGGCTGAGCAGCTTGGGGACACATTCCTTGGCACGAACGCGGCGCACAGCCAAGCAAGATGTGGCAGGAAAGCACTGAACAGCCGGGAGGGCTCCTCACACCATAAATATGAACTTTTTGCTCTGAAATGCTCTCCTCCTGCCTTTCTGAGCGCAGAAGCATTTGCTGGGGAACACCAGGCTGGGAGAAGTCGGCATCTCAGCAGGGATCAAAGCAGATCACTCAGCACTAACCTGAGAACGGCTCTTAGCCACAGGCATCTCTGCTTACCTTCACTGGTCACTCCTTCTTCCAGCTCGTCTCCTTTCTGCAAGCGGAACAAAAAGGCACGTGAACACACAGGCAGCGCTTCGCTATTATCCTCTACACCCGTTTAATGCAACTGGACGGTTTCCACCACTTGTTTCCACACGCTAACTAGCCTGAGCAGGGTGAGCTGGGGAAATCGCACGGCTCCCACGTCAGGAGGCCAGTGGTGCTGGACATTTCACTGCGCTGCAGAGCAGGAGGATGAGCGCTAGAGATGCTGCTGAAGATTGCTGGCGGGTCACTAAACTTTCCCCGTTGGACCTGAACAGCAGTCCACTGCCATTTCCACCTCAGACAGTAGGCCTGCTCAAAAACTCTGCTGTGTCACACCAACGCCCTACAAGATGCCATCTTTTCTGTCACACAGTCCTCTAAAAAAAGTCAGAACTGCGGTTTGAATCGTGTCCTCAAAGAAAATGCACTTACAGCTGACGAAGGACAGCTGCAAAATAGTCTGAGACCAGTGTTTCTCCCATGGGAGTTCATTTTAGATTTCATACAATAATACAGCAGCTTTCCTGGCGCCCCTGCTGTACAAAGACAAGATTAGGGTGGGCTGGATGAAGGACACCGAGGGGCAGCTGGCATCTGTCCATGAGACACGAAGGCTGGGATGCCGGGAGGGTCAGTGCGTTTCTACCAGCTGCGTGCATTTCAAAAGACGAATTTCCAGTGGTGCTTTAATAAGGAAACTAAAAGCCTAAGGATGTGGCATCCTTGTCAATCTATCAGGATGTTCGAGATGGGCCAAAATACTACTTGACAACCTCACATCATAGAATCATAGAATGGCCTAAGCTGGAAGGGACCTTAGAGATCATTTTAATCCAGCCTCCCTGCCGCCAGGGACGCCACCTCTCAACTAGACCAGACACCTCTCGACTAAACCTGCTTTGAAAAAGAAAAGTGTTTGTTCATACCCTGGTTTCTCTGTCGGGAGAGCGGGAACGTTCTAATGGGCCTCACAAAGGTTTCTAACGCCAGTGCGTTGAAGCCACCTAGAATCTCCGGGTTTTCTGCCGCACAGAGGTTTCCAAAGGTCCACGCAGCAGCCACTGCCTCACACGCAGGGGTACTGTTTGTTCCGACACAGCCCATAAAGGCTCAGGGAATAAATAATCACTACCTACCCTAATCTGTAACTTCCTCAGTTGGGAAGCAGTGAGCTAAATGGAACCACTAATGAAATCTCCCTACTGCTAAATTAATTTAAGCAGCAAAGACAAAAGTTTATTGTTTAAGCAGAGTGGACACGCTACGTTTACTGTATTTTTTTTAATAAAATGGGGCCAATAATTAAATTTGAAAATGCCTGCCTGTACTGAGGCTTGAAAAAACTACCTGCAGCTCAAAACCGGTGACATTTCAAAGGCAGCCGGTCAGTCTGCCAAACTCTGTTTATGCACTTTCAGGCAGCTTTGGAAGAACAGCAGCATCTTCTTCCTTTCAGTACAGTCAGCTCCTCCGGTGCCGGAGAGGACTGACGTGCCGGAACGTGCCTGAGTTGGGGAGCGGAGCCTGAACCCCGCAGCTCCCAGTGAGGAGCCGTGTGGGCAACAGCAAGGGGCTGGGAGAGCCCTTAAGGAGTGGGGAGTTATTGGGGACAATATCTGAAGTTGGAAGAATGGAAGGAGAAGATCCTTAGGGATACAGTGACCACAAGGGACCAGTTCAGCTCGCTAAAACCACCTTGAAAAGAACAGCCTGAAACGCAACCCGCCACCCGTCCCCAAAATGCACTCGGTTAATTTGAGTCAGATGCTCACATTAAAAAAACCACGGCTGGAATAAACGCGTGCTAGCTGTACCACCCCTGAAACCAAATGTGCACTGGTACAGCAAAAACAAGCTCCACAGCACAGGAAAAGCTACTTTTAGTTCCGTCTTTTGTTTGTTTGTTTAATAATTACCAGACGATAATCATGTAGGAGAAACTGCAAGTTAGAAACATTGAAGAGAGGCTGTTGTAAATTTTTATTATTGCTATTATGAAACGTGTCGAGCTCGCTTGCCAATTTAACAGAAACATCTCTGTTCGAAAAGAAACTAAGCCCTGATCCAGCATCTCTTAAAAGCATGTGTGCATGTACTTAGATCCTGCCAAAGCTAATGCAGCCTTAAAAGTTTGGTGGAGGAGACAGGTAAAGTGGAGCACGTGTTTAAATGCTTCCCTACATGGACACCAGACACATGATTTCTGGAACGCGTGCTGTTCCGTGATGTTAACGTGGACAAGTGAAAATAAAACAACCCAGAAAAAACTCCACATTTTGATGGAATTGCTGAACAGGACCCTATCTCCTCCTGCTTAGATATTCCCTTCGAAGGGAAAGGAGCTCGACGATTTAGAAGCTTCACTGCGTCCCGTTACGAGAAGCATCAGTAACTCAGCAATGCATTGAAAGCTATCGCCCATGTGAAAAATGAAAATATAAAGAGTCTCACCAAGTCGGTACTGAGCCACTCCTCAATGTCATCCATGACAGAGGACTGTGCAACAGGGATCTAGGGAGTGCAGCGAGAGAACAGCAAGGCAGGCAAAAACCAAAACACATCCACAATCATGGCCACAGAGCGATGGAAAACGCCAGAAATAAGATTAAAAAACAAAACAAAAACAAAGATGTAAGATGTGCTGGAAAAAAAAAATAAGGCAACAAAATATAAATGGCATTTCAAATAAAGAAGCACTCGGAAAGGAAATTATGAACAACAAGGCTAAAAAAAACCAAGAGAAAGATTATGGGGAATGACGTGACTCGATGCCAGCGTAAGACGGGTAACTTCTCGACCACGTATTAAAACCATCAAGATGGACTGATGATTCTAATCTTGATCGTGAAAAGCTTTTAAGGGTAGAATACTGGATATCAGTTAGGTTCTGAAAGGTTAAATTTACACCTTTGAATTTTTTTTTAAATGGGTATTAGCCACAGTGAAGGGTTAGCAAAAAAGAGGGGCTCAAAATCTTCGGGCAACACTCCCAGGAAAACAATTTTGAGTTTCTCTGCAGGCGGAGGCAGTCAGAGCCCCGGGTACACGGATCCTCCTCCCACGGCACCAGTTAGATGGGAAACAGCCCTGGTTCCCTGTCCCCACTCCTTGCAGCAGAACTCAACGCGTGCCAGTGCAGGAGCCCCAAACGTGAAGGCGAGGAGGAGGATGGGGCACAGCACACGCTCCTTCCCGGAGCCCGCCAAGGCTCCCACGGATGGTTTAACAAAAAGGCACAAAAGGTTCGCCTCTCCTCCTGTAATAAACCTGCTCACGCCGTGCCGTGAGGCTGCGCCAGGCAGCGCAGCGATTTCACAAAGCGGGACGGGCAACGGGGTCAGCAAAGGGAAATTGCTGCCTATTGGGGGTAGAGTTTCCTGACTTAACTTTGCTTAAATGCAACAGAAGGCTGCGCAGCACAGCAGAGGAAAACACCGTAACAGATCTCGTACGGACGAAAACTGCTTGGAAAGCAACGTCAGACATGCAGGTTCCAGGCTAGAGCAGGGCAGCCGAGCAGTGGGGCCAGCAGGCAAGAGATGCCGCGGTGCTGGAGAGGTTCTCTGAGGAAGACAAGGTGTCAGGGGACGGCCTCAAACCTCTCAGACTCCACAGATGAATTTGCTGGGAGATGTAGTTTTTCTCGGGGACTTTTGGCAGAGGCAGACAGACAGATGCTGAATTGCAGAGGCAGCAGCACAGGCTGATGCTGTTGAGCAGGGCTCCTTGGGATTTTTTAATTCTAATCAAGCGGCCCTTTGCACCGAGGAGGTCAGTTAAGCCCTTGCTTGAGGTGAGATGTGCCAAGGTGGGTTAGTTGTGTGAAAGGAATGGAAAAGCAGGGCTCAATCCAAAGCATCTCCCACCAAGAGAAGCACCGAGGCCACGACTTGGCTCTGACTGCGGGGTGCTGGATGAGGCGCACGTGACAGTTCAGGAAGGGTCAGGGGGGCAAGCTGTCATTTTGCGTTCAGCTGACACAGAAGATCCTAAACAGAAAGTAAGTTCCTGCAGTTTCCTTCAGACGGGGCCAGATTTAGGATCGTTGCCCCTTACTGAATTTGCGAAGGAGAGCTCCATCACGCTTGCCCAGCGTGCTAAAGCTGCTGCGAGCTGGCTCAGACGGCCACGAACAAGAGCAGGGCTCTGCAGGCATCTTCCAACACGTTCCTTCCCAAGGACAAGTTGCATCTTGTAGAGCTGGCTCTTGTTACTTTAACAGCTTCGCAGATACAAAGCAATGAATTTCTTCAGCCTACAGCAACCGAAAACCTCCAGCAGAACTTTCACTGCTGTCTCTCTCCGGGGTTGCTTAGTGCCTTTGGAGCTGTTGGCTACTTTGCAGCTCAGAAAGGTACTGAGGTTTCTTTAAGGGCAAGAAAATCTGCATTTTCTTAGATTCTCTCTCTATCAAAGGCACACAAGTGGAGGAAGAAAATAGCAGGTCCGGGGGTTTTTTGGCTTTTCTGCAAGTAATGGATTCCTGAGAATCACAGGGCTCTAGCTTGGAGGAGTGCTTGAAGAATAGCTCAGCAGTATAGGAGTCTGTGCTGCTGTGTTTTGTAAGACTTTTTGAAAAAAAAAGAAAAAAGGAATTCTACTTTTGAACAGTCCTACTATAAGGAATAAACAGACAAAACCCTCAGAAGTGCAGGAACACTTCTTGTGGGTCATACAGAAGAAGCAGAGAGAGCTGCGAGATAAACATTTGAGCACGTCAGCCCTTTGCTACTCAGCACGGACCTTCGGACAAGCTTCCCCCATCTTCCAGGAGATTTATGTAAGAGCCAAGGGTTTGCATCTATCGCTCCTTCCATGCTCAAGCTTCCAATTTACTTCCCTCAGACTCTGAGCCCCGTTTTCCGCACCACACATGGGTTAAATGTGTCGGGTTTAATTTGGTCAAGAATCAAGAAGGGGGAAACTCTCAAGAGCAACTGGAAGCCTTAAAATATTTTAACTCTAACATTGCACCATTTATATTTCGGTCGAAACTGACCACACACAGAAGTTCGGGGAGTCTGCCAGCTGGTTGTGTTTTGGGCACGTTTCAGTGCGTGTTTGGCATTTTTCAGTTTAGGGCTTCCAGAAGCCCTAAACTGAAAAACGGGGAGGGGAGTTTTGGCTAAACTCATCCCCTAAAACACAACAGAAGCAATGCAAAATTAAATTAGCTAGTTTACACACTAAAAAAAATCCAAACCAAACAAAAAGTCAGCAGTTTCTGGGACCAAATAGACTACATGGAAAGGGCTCCAGAAGGGGATACTGTCTTGTTAATACTTTGATTATGCAAACATCCATGGTCTAGTGAAGCTCTCAGTGTTGGCAAGACAGCTCCCTAGATAGTCAGTGTTGGCTGCAAAAGCTGTTTTTATAACGATATCGTGATTTCTTTTTTAAAAGCCTACACTCAAAAGTAAATGCAAATTCAGTCACAAAATATTTTTGGGTACTGTAAGTAACTGGCTTTAATTAAAAAGTCGGGCTCATTGTTCAAATTCCTTTTTTATTTAGTCTTTGGAAAATCCTACAACCAGTATCATCTCAGCAGTCCTGAAAGGAAAATGGAAAAGGAGGGCTGGGAGAACAAAAGCGAGCGTTCAATCCCACAAAACCCACAGGAACCTCGAATTCAAGTTCATACTTATCTAAGTTAGATTGTGTTGGTGTTCTCACTAGCAATCAAAAGCCAAAGAGTATTGCCAATATATTTCCTCAGAAGTCATAAAATCCAATATTCTACCCTTAAAAAGACAGTTTAAGGTTATTATTATCACATTTTATTTCTATTAAAAATGATCCCACTGGAAAAGAAGCAGGTATGAAATGACAATTCAGGTCTCTAGGTGAGCTCATTAATGTTCTTAAAATGTTTAACAAGATTCATGCTAATTGTTGCTAGACTACTGTCTTGTAGTAGCCTAGTTAATTCCACTTCTTTCTAGATGTTTAACAAAGCTGACATCAATACTTGGTTCGCTGCTATTCACTGCCCCCCGGTTAGTTAGCAACAGCAAAGAAAAGTCTGTTGGTCCTACGGCAGCAGAACAAGGGCACTAAGATGCTTACTAACAGCCTACTCCAGCTTACTACTACAGTCTTACCATCTATTTAAAGCTGTTGTGATCTTGAAATAGCTGCCTGGCCTCAATATTAGAACACGTTTGACTTCACATGGAAGGATTGAATCAGCTGCTTGATTACTCGTAACCACGTTTACACCTCGTGGAGACTGGGAAGGCAAGAGCTCAGGTGCAGCAGGTTCCCCAGCGCAGCCTGTTGTGCCCGTACGACAACCAGCCAGGCTGGATCTGGTGGGCACGTCCAGGCAGCGAGAGCCTTCCCGCGTGGGGGGTTATCAGATTGGCCCCACGGAGAGCTCCGTAAAATGCCGCGGCTGGACAGGTAACGAAACCCGCACGGGGGTCAGAACAAGGGATCACGCTTGCTTGCCTTCGAAAGGGAGAGGGGTCCCACCGCACAGGATGAAATGAGAATTTCACATCTTCCCTTTTCTGTTTGTCCTCAGTTCAAGCACTTCAGTCTCCAAGAAGATGACGTACTTCAACAGTCTCGTGTTACCCGTGCCATTTCCACAGCTTAGATCCTATCTCTCTATGGAAGGCACGCGCAGCGGCATCCCACCTCGCTCCTGGCAACACCTCGGCAAGGTTTCGTTTAATCTTTACTCGCCTATCTTTACTACAGAGAGGAATCTCCTCGGTAGGCAGGCATGCTGCCGGTGGTCAGGAGGCAACGCTGAAAGCTGTTCCTATCACTTTCTGTGAATTCTGGTTCAGCTTCATTCTTCCCCTGCCACTGTCCCAAATAACATCTACCCTGACACGGTGGCTTAAGCAACATCTGCTTCTCGCTTTCGTAACAAATAAGCAATCTGGCATGTGAGTGGGGTGACATTACTCTAAACAAATGAATACAATCATGCAAATCTCACTTACTGCCCAGACTCATGAGACAGGAACTGGAATTACGAACACTGAAACGTGGCGGCCTTATGCTGAAGCCTGTGCCTAAGGGCTGCTGATAGGGACCCCCACACGACACCCGCATGGCCTAACTGCTCTGGTACTGGAACAGCTCAGCTAATGTCCCTAAGTCACACTGGAACCAGGAATGTCTTCTGCAGCTATCATTTTGTCTGTTAATTTTGTAGGCATAGCTGGGATGGATAAAGGTGCGGTTTGTGTCTCCATCGTCCTGGCATCACCTTGGCAGCAGAACTGAGCTGCAGGTGAAGCTGAAGCAGAAGCAACGCTGCCAAATTCACTGCGAGAGCGCACGCCGAGCCCTGAACGAGCCTCCCTGTGCAAAGGCGTGTTGCTGAACTGGGATGCACAGGAATGGAGTGGGAAGAACTCAGCCTTAAGCTTCAACGTCTCCCAGTTCGGGAAGAACAACATCAGGTCGTGAGGGATGCGAGAATCGCTCTGGCAGGTGGAGAACACCCTGTCGGTGGTCTTGGCGTTGTAGAGGCACAGGTAATGGCG